CATGTCTAAGATGCCAGATAAGAACTTATCAACTGTAACAAGATAGAATTGCGTCTAACAGCGGTAACTTTACAGAACTGCGGTAACTGTAGAACAGAAATTCAGAACAGAAGAAAAAGAGAAAAGAATCTTCTTGATATCGACTAAAACTTACTTACAATAATGTGGATGCTTCTTTATTTAAAATTTATGCCTTTTATCTGTATGCTTTAATCGGACATTTTTTCGAATCTTTATTTGTTATAACAAAAACATTTTACAATTAAATTTCTAACAGAAATTAAATAATTTCAGAAAACGACATGACAAAAAGTAACTCGATAAAATTCATTAACTTATTAAAATTCTTCGTTCCCTAAAAATAGTATTCTATTATACGGGGCATAATTTCTTTTTTTTCTTTTTCTCTCTAGACATTAATGAATTAACTGCATCCCCTCTCTCTCTCTCTCTCTCTCTCTCTCTCTCTCTCTCTCTCTCTCATTTTATATGAAAATTTTTATAGTTGAAGAAAGGTACCATATATATCAATGCTATATATTAATTTGCAGAAAGAGAGAAATCCCCGTAAAATAAAAGCTATCTTCTTAATTTTTTATAGAATATCAAGCATTTTAATTTGTAAAAATTGTATTATAATGTAAGGTATAATAATGAAAACAATGGTGTATTAGTAACATTAACTGACAACAGTTTAATTAAGAATGTCTTGTTATAACGACATTAATGAAATAAATACTCCATGCTGTTATTTTAATAAAATGTTATTTATTTCATTAAACTGAACAGTATATGAACAAGATTTTCAGTTACATTGCTGTTGACTAATCCTGTCAATACATCACATTTTTGTTTTAATAAAATGTTATTTATTTTGTTAATACTGTTATTTAATAATATATAAACAAAATTATTTCCAATTATACTGCAGTTGGCTATTAATACATCTTTTTCCGTGTATAAAATGACTGTTTTTTTTTTCTTTCTTTAACAACGTTGAACTCTCAAGTCTTTTCGATCTTTCTCTTAGTTAGACATGCAATGTAAAATTGTAATTACGTGTTGTATAATACGTGACTTCATCGCCATGCTGCAGGTCTAACGTGGATCTGTCAGCAGCTGCGCAGGAATTAGCGTTTGGGGATGACTGACGGATACGAAATGGACTGTAACGTCGCGCGAACAACATCGCATTTATTTAGACGGTGATCGAATTATGCAAATTACTCGGCGCCAACGTCGAATCGTTCAAATCCTCGACATGGTCCTCAATGTTTCGATAAACATGTTCCCACATTCGTTCGTGATTTATTTTTTTCAAATATTACCGAATGTTAACCCGACCCGCTCAATCCTCCTCCTGACAATCGATACATGTTGGTTTTTCGATTATACTTGTTTACGTGCTCACGAATTTTTGTCCCGTTAATGTAGTGGAACGGAAAACATTGGGTGAAATGGAGCAAAAATACACTCACATACATGCTTTTATTCTCGCTTATTTAAGCAAATGCTTGTAAAAACGAAAGTTACATAAAATGCTTTAAAATATGGATAAAATGAACAGATTATACAACAATTTTTCATATATTTAAAAATGAAACACTAGTTCTTGTGTTGATAATATCTGCGATAAAAATAAAAAACTACTTGCATTCATAAATTGTAGAATGTACTTTTATGGTATTTTCTACTTTTTGTCAACACAAGCCAAGAAAACATTTGTTTCATCTTCATTGTACACTGAGAGAAAAATCTTTGATATTTTTTATTATAATTATATCTCATCATAATTATGGTTATTTTCTGCTATAATAATATTAATAATAACTATGTATAGTTCTATTATATGCATATATTTAATTTGTTATCAAAATCGTTACAACTCAGAAAGAATACTTTTTAAGGATTGATTATACAAAAATAACAAAAGTGACGTTTGATCATATATATTTCTAAGAGTATATTCTTTTTGCTATTTGATCATATTATTTGATCAGTTAATAATTTTACATTAACTTAAAAAATAGTTTTCCTCTTTCCTGAAAAACTGTTTTGAATTGTGTCACTTTTAAAGTAACGGTAGTTTTTATTACGAGTAGATATACTAATATTATAGCAGTAATAACTATGATAATATATAATTATAATTATAAATATCAAAAATATTGTTCTCAATTTATCTTCAGTTCACTTCAATACAATCTTACACTCTTAAAAATAATGTATTGATTAATAATGTCAATACATTAAATTATTTTTAAGATTATGATGAAGTAGCAGTTTTAATATTCATTAAACCGACATTGTAAATGAAAGAAGATGCGAGAGCCATTTTTGAGGGTCATGAATTAATAAGAAGTGCTACGCGCGCGAGAAGTCGTAATTAAGCGTTCGCACGAAGCAGAGTACAAGCTGAGAATCAGTCTCGGCAAAAAACTCTCTTAAAAGTTGAGGAGAAAGATGCCGCGCGGTACTTTTTTACGCGGGGAAAATTCTGCATACAAGGGTATTACTCCGGATCGCAGGGTGTATAAAGTTCGTTCGCTCTTGCGCCCACTCTCCTGCGCTTTGTGCGAATATTGCCATGTACTTCCCTCTTATTATGACGCGTCTAGCATGATAAAGGGGTTCCGACAACCGCCTAGAAGGCTGGAAAGCATTTAGCTGTGGAACCGCTTTACCGGAATGCGGGAAAGATTTCTCGCGTTCAACGTGGAGTGCCCGACAAACGCATAGCTGTATTTAATATCAACGTGACTCCTGTCCCTTCAATAAGGAACTATTGTACACTCAAAACGGTCAGCCAGATTTTTTTTATTGAACTTCCTCGGTTTACTGAAGAAAGAACTGAGAAAAGTTGAGGAGAAACTGAGGGAAAAACTCAATGTCTAGATTAAGAATGAATTAATTTCTTTAATCAGAAGACTCTTTCCAACCCCTCGGAGAGCTCAGGAGTGTTGGATCTGCATTTAAACGATTGAGAGAAATTCTTTTTTCTGTAATCAGGCTTTTCTCTATTCTACATGCGCAATTAAATCACATTTAATTAAAAAGGTTGTCGGATTTATTATTGCCATTTATTGTACAGAATTACGACATTATCTTATTCCATCTTAAAAAAGCTTATATAGAAATAATTATTAGAAGATAAGATAAACTATTCAGTTTCTCGTTACCTCTGAAAATCTAGTCATATTATTATCAAATCTTTTTGTGATAAATCATGTAGGGTAATTATTACACCAGTCGTTAAATCAAATAATTGTTAAAGAAAAATATTAATAAAATAATAAGATTTAAAAAATAAGTTGTAAATACATTGATAAATTAATTTTAATTTTGATAAAATAGGATTAAAATCTAATAAGTGAAATGCTTGAAATCAGTTAATTTTTTTACAATTTTTCTTTACAATTTTTTTACGTCACATGGAAATCTCATTTTGCTAAAAATATTTTCTAATAAACAAATTGTAATTGTAAACAAAAGAAATGCTTTCTTTTATTCTTGATATAAAAGAGAAGAGACAAAACAGAAAGTTGTGCACAACTGCTCATTTTCACCGAAATTTCACAATATATTCCTATGTCTTGTAACAGGCCTGTCTAATACTTTGCTCATGAACTAAACGCTTCCCCTCCATCCTTTCGTAGAGCAAGATTAAGAAAAAGTAAAAAGAGTAGACGCTGAAGCTCTGTTCCATTATTACACTGTAAAAAGTACAATGTTAATGTTTAAAACAATGTTAATGTTTACAAAACAAATATTTAATAAAGATATTTTCAATTTTAAATGTTTTTATAGGATTTTAGAGTTTGAATCCAATATAGTGTTTTGTTTAATGAAAACCTAAAAACCTAAAAACATTTAAACTTAAACGTTTTTAGGTTTTTAAGTTTTCATTTAATGTTTAAAATATCTTTAAGTGTTTAAAAAAGAAGAATATTCAGATGACGTTTCTGAACTCAATTTAAGCCTATTGTAAAATCATAAAATTGTGAAATTCTGATGACTAAACGCGCAGCATCTCCCCTCTCCCTTTCTCTCTCTCTCTCTCTCTCAAAAACAATAAAAGAACATTTTTTTTATTCACAATTATCAATCGTTTATTGGAAAATACTTGCTGCAAGACAAAGCTTTCATATAGAAAAAAAAAATGCGTTTTCACAAAATTCCCCGGATTTTAGATAATTTTAAACTTCATATTCTATATGATACAAATTTGAACTAATGAAAATAAATTTAATTACAGTTCTGCTTGTTTTATTTAATTTAGTAAGTGATATTATTTTTCTGGTTCTGCTCGTGATTGTGTTTTGAAACCAAAAAAAAGATTTAGGCGTGCAGTTTGCAAAATCAAATATGTATATAAATTTACGTAGAAATATTTAAGTAGTAATTTGTAAGACCTGCTTTGATCAAATATAAAAATTTTCTTATTTAATTAGCTTCGTATTCTAGTTTAGGCAACATAGAGATTGATCGATTTGAAATGTCCTTTATGGAAAAATTTTGATTCTGTTTTATTATCTTTCTTTATAATATTCTACATTTATTTAATTACACATGTATCTTTACTAATTTACTAATTTAAAAATATATATTTTTTTGTATCTTTATACTAAATATATATTTTTTGTATCTTTATACTAAATATATTTTTTTTCTTTTATAAGGAAAACTTGTACGCTAGTTATTTATTAGCGTTATTAGCGTTATAGTAGGTTTTTTTTTACTTTTTAAATCAAGATATATTATTATCAAGACTATTATTTTTTTTTTCAAGATAATATATGACATTTTTAAATAAACATCATTATTGAGTGATTTGTTCTTTTTTTTTATACATGTACTATAATTCTCGACAAATATCGTGGATATCTTCATATTTGTTCATTACATAAATGTAATGAATATATGAGATCCTCATCCTAATATGACAGCTTAATCTGCTCATCCGATAACTTATTCTTTTATGTCTTATGATTTTTCTTCAGGTGATGGAAACGTCAGCTTCGAGGAATTCGTCGAGATCGTCAGCAATATCGGCAGCGCGAGCACGGCGGCTCCCACAGATCAACATCAGGAAGAGCAAGAATTGCGAGACGCCTTTCGGGTGAGTAAAATAAACGATCCCTCGTCGCTGTTTCATTTGAATTTACGAATCGCACGGTTGATAGCTTCTTTGTCCTTTGGATCGGTCCACGCGATCGTCCGATAAATCTCTATCTTCCGCTTCATGTGTAAGACGAAGCGCTTGGGTATCAAACGTAGAGCATATTTTCTCTCGCGATCCAGGCAATTTTTGGCTGGATTACTGCGGGCCGTTCTCAGTCAACTTTCTTCTCTGAAGGAAGCAAGAGGATTTGCTCTTGGCGTTTTTAAACGAGCCGATAGAGCCGATTTCTTTAGACAGAGACTAACGCGAGACGACAGCCACTTTATAAACTGCACCTTAGTGGCTCCTTAGAATACGATGCTGTTCATGAAACGCAAAAGTTTATAATGATCGCGACATGTACCATGAATACTTGAGTGTTCTATGCATATTTTATGCATTATATTATAATAAGTTTTCTGTTGTGCGCATGGATGTTTTAACGGTTAAGTAGCTGGAGTTAATCCGTTCTGACTGTCCAATATGTATCCCTTAATCTTTACTTTCCGAGAATTTAGGATTCAAGTTCTCTTACTTCTGGAATGTCAGAACCGAATTATTCGCATAATCTTTCAAATTAGCTGCGGCCTGCTGGTGGGACACGCTGCCTCGCGCATAATAATAAGTTTCTTAAATTCTGTTTTGAGAGATATTCAGCTTCATGATTATTGATTATATCTCGATTGTTTTGAAGTTATGTGTAATTAAAGGATTAAATATTTAGGAAACGAACAAACAAACAATTTATCTTTAAAATGTTTACTATATAAATAATTTTCTCCTTGACACACACACACACACACACACGCGCGCGCGCGCGCGCGCGCGCGCGC